TAAACCATTAATGCATACTTCACGATTTTGGCATCACATTTATCTGGTTCAGCATATTTTCCCACACTGCAGCAAGGCCAACTCTTTTCCAGACATACATTCCCCTATGAAATCACTTAACTACATTCTCCACCCTATGCCAAATAGTTCTCCTCCCATATCAAGGAGGAGGTAGAGGTAATCAGATCAGGGTCTTTAGATTTTATTAGTGCCCCGTGGCTTCATTGGCCTTCTGTCTGACTGTGGATACCCTATGTATATTGAGAGACATTCTATCAGGTTAGACAAGCCTCTCTCCCTTTGGCCCCAACCAGGACTGCTGTCCCTGGTGCTGAACCATGTTTGCACAAGGGGAGTTGGCTGTCTGGTCAATGGGGCTGGATGAAAAACCTGGCTGAGTGACCTTAGGAATGCCCGGTTCAGAAGCGAAGGATGCCTTAGTACACAGACACAGGGCCGCTCGCCGCCCCCTCCCCCAGCTCCCTCACACATATCCCTCGGGTGTGCGCCAGGACCCCATTTGTAAATTTCTTCTTCAGACCCCCACCCACAACGCTTGCAACATGGCCTCAAATGCTGGCGTGTATCAGCACAGCCCACTCCGACATCAGATTGCAGTAATGTCAAAATGCTACTCCTCAAATACTAAGTCTTTATGAGGTTACGTTTTCCACTCTAAAACCAAAGAACAACAAAAAAATAAAATCCGATAAATTAATACATTAACAAAAGTGACCTTCCACTTTTCTCCTTCCAGTCCCCGCCCCATATATTCACTTTCCCCTAAATTATTAAGCCCCACGTCCTAGAAGAGTGTTTTAAATCTGGGTGGTCTCCCGAGTTCCCCCTTCCCACCCCTTCCCCCCACCTCTTTAGAGCAAAACGACGCCAAAAAGGGCACATCTTACCCAGGATATAGCGACAGCAGGAGCAGAATCCACACCGTCATTTTCTGTGAAAATACAGGAGTCGAGTAGACTGAGCTTCCTGTGCTCCATATATTTGGCGAACTCATCGCTTTTTTTTTTTCCTCCTCTCGCCTCTTGCCTCTTGGTTGCAGAAGAATCCCTCCCCTTTGTATTATTCTTATGCTTATGATCTGATGGTGGCTCCCCCCATCTGCTTCTAGTAGGTCCCGTCACTGGGGAGATGGATTGCTACCAGCTTTGGGAATTAATATTCAGGGGGCAGAGATAAGATCAGCACAAACGCTTGCAGATGCCATCAAAGCGTCACTCTGGCAGCGGCTTCCAAGTCTGGGGGAGTAATATCATCGAGGTAGGGGGAGGGTACAGGGAGAGACTCACACGGAGACAAATAAGGGAGAGGGAAAGACGCGCACACTCGTGGATACTCATGCCCCTCACACATACACCTTCTGCCCCGGGTCCATCGCTTCGGGTTTATCTATCTGTTTGTTTTGATTTTTTTTTTCTTTTACAGGCGGCAGCCCCCTTTGCGTGTGTGTGTATTTAAAATAAACAGGAAAAAAATCATTAGAGACTCTGCGTGATTAACTAACACGCAGATTAACTATGAGGTCAAAGTGGAAGTGATGCACGCTGCTGCAGCACGAATTAACACATGCGTGGTGTCTTTCCAAAGCTTTTTAACCCTTTACTGCACACATAAGCATGCAAGGACTGGCATTCATGGGGACAAGAGATGCTTTAGCAAGCCCAGAAACTACATCACCAATGACAGAAGGTTTGTGGTCGTTAGATCTGCCAAGAATCCTTATTTTAAACTCGTACAGTCTTAGAAATCATGGTTGCATTGTTAGAGCTGGGGGAGCAGACAGTGGGGGAGGTGTGAGTGTCTCAGTAAGCCATCCTGTAGGCAGACAGATTGGTGAATTCAATTTGAATGAGGGAAGAAAACATTGACAGAATTAAAAGACATGGAGAAATTCTATGCTACTCAAAATTCATTCCTCCCTGTCCATCCTCCAACCCCAGTAATATTGTAAAGACACAAAACTGCTTGAAGTTTGACAAATGTAATTGCATGGGGATAGCTGCTTGAGTGAAGATTACCTACCACAATCTTTGTGGTAGGATGTGAGAAGGGGGGTGCTTTTTGAAGGAAGGGTGGGCTGAGGGGTATAATCAGGGGGTCATTTACCAATGCACAGGGATTTCTGTTTGTTAGGTGGGGGGTTGATTTTTTGCTCTTCTTTGTAATAATCCTGAAAGTTTATATGTTGGATGAGTGGTATTAGCATGCTTCTTTCTTGCCTAGAATGTTACCATGGATACTCATGTATAGAAGATACCACTTTATAGCAAACTAGTTCATCTACCACAGAGGAAATCCCTTTCATTAATCATGAAAAAGAAAGTGGGATAGTGTTTCATGTTTCCTTAAAGGCAAGATACCACCATGAAGGCATGCAGAAAGCAGTACTGGTGATGAGGTCTAATCTGAGCCCTTTGTGCAAAGTGACAAGGAGTTGTCTCAAAATAAGTACCTTTCCTGCAAGAAAAAGGTCTTCCAAGAATGGAATTGAGTAAGGAGTCCAGGAGGCATAGGAATAAACATGAGAAAATCAGGTCCACACTCCATCACTAACACTAAAATATACCCAAGGAATGCAGAAAGAATTACCAGTGGCTGATGCTCATCACATGGACTGAGGAGATGCATTCTGACAACGAAGTAAAAACGCCCTGACAGACCCACCTGGAATCCTGCATGGCTTTATAACTCTGCCTTAGGCAGAGTTATCCTTAAAACATTGACAAAAAATCCAATGAAAACCACATTCAAGTGCAGTTTTGACTTTTTTTCTATTGGGATTAAAATGGAGGCAGAGCAAACATTAAATCCCCTTTCTATGTAACTTTCTTTTTCTCTGCTGCACTGTGAAGGCAGTTTCCTCTTCTTTAATTTTTATTTGTTTAATTTAGAGGCAAAGTCTTGTTTTGTCAGCCAGCCTGGAGTACAGTGGGATGATCACAGCTCACTGCAACCTAAAACTCGTGAGCTGAAGCAATCTTCCTGCCTCAATCTCCTAAGAAGTTGGGACTATAGAACAACATCAATATGCCTGGCTGATATCATGCCCCTTCTTATATTCACAATTTTTTTAATGTCTCTTTTTTTTTTCTTTTTTCCTTTTCTTTTTTTTAAGTTATACTTTAAGTTCTGGGGTACATGTGCAGATCTTGCAGGATTGTTATATAAGTATACACATGCCATGGTGATTTGCTGTCTCCATGCCCCTATCACCTACATTAGGTATTTCTCCCAATGTTATCCCTCCCCACTCCCCACTATTTCTCCCCTAGCCCCCTGGCCCCCAACAGACCCCAGTGTATGATGTTCCCTTCCCTGTGTCCATGTGTTCTCATTGTTCAACAGTCACCTATGAGTGAGAACATGCAGCGTTTGGTTTTCTGTTCTTGTGTCAGTTTGCTGAGAAAGATGGTTTCCAACTTCATCCATGTCCCTGCAAAGGTCATGATCTCATCCTTTTAATGGCATGCATGGTATTCCATGGTGTACATGTGCCACATTTTCACAATTTTTTTTTAAAAAGAGCCTAGTTTGTTTATAGCTGTATATATTTTCTTACTGAAATTACTGAATCACACTTTTGTAGGCTAAGATATGTGTGCATGTAATTACTTAAGTCCCTACAAAACCCAAGAAAGTGAGATAAATGGAAAAGATTGGCAGCTTATGAATCAGTAAAGTGGTGGAAACCATGCACACTGAAGTGCTGATACTCCATCCAAATGGAGTTGCCACTGTTCAGTTCCAATCAGAATTGCCAGAAAAAATGGAAATTGATTTGCAGGGTAAAATGTTCTAATTTCTAAAATGCAAAGGAGGCCAAAATAAGCAGGCATGCAGGCCACAAGGCTGTAATTTTTATAGACTATATAAAATATCTATATGTGACATTTCTGTTACCATACATGACATTTCCAAATTTTTGTGTAAATTTCTCAAGTGAATTTATTTTCAACCATAACGAAGTTGTGAAAATGAATGCTGTCACATTCACAAAGAAGTGATTCATATACTGATCCCTTATCCCTATAAATTAGAAGCTATTGAATGATGGAATTTTGCCCAGCATATTAAGAGAAACCATAGAGGAAATTTTTCTGTTTATAGTATCTGAATACAAATTTAATTGTGTCATTCATAGCTAGTAAGCATCAGCATGTCTCTGTGGATCTTTCTTATCTGCTGACTGCTCTCTTAAAAAAAGTATTTTAATATATTTTCTAATATTTTATAACACATGTTATATTCAATGGTGTATATAAGAGACCTAGTAATTTCTTCTGTTATCACATTTGAGCTATACTCTTGCCCATTTTTAAGATTACAGTTCTAATAAATAAAATAACCATTATTCAATATACATGATGCTTATCTTCTAATTGCAAATAGTATATATGTATATATTATAGAGGAAATATATATTTTCCTCCCCATTACAAAGTTTATGTCTGAGATCCCTATGACAAAAGACAGATTAACAATAGAAGGCATAAATATTTATTTCATTTAAGTTTATGTGACATGGGAGCCTTTAGAAATGAAAGCTCAAAAGAAACAGGGAAAATTGTGTATTTTATGCTAAGTCAGATGAAGAAGTGGATAGTTGTTCAGAAACATTATTGGGCAAAAACAGATATGATCTAAAGGTCATAAGCGGGGGAACTCAGAGAGGCCTCCTTGTTCAGATTCATCTCCATGTTCTGTGTCTTCAGAGATGAAGACATTGCTTTTCTCTAGGCACAGGGAGGACATCCCTGGGATGAGGACCTTATGACCTATTTTCAGGAGAAGGTCAGCTAGGTTTTATAGCCCACTGCTGGGGAAAAAGAGCGAAGGAAATTCTCTTAGTTTCTATGACCTGATTTGGGAGAGAAGGGGGGCAGAAGAAGGCCAGAAAGATATTCCTGCTTCTGTGGTCTTCTCAATGTCCTTCAACTTAAAATCCTCACTATGCCAAGTTGCCATATATATGTGTATATGTGTGTGTGTATTCGTTTACTTATATTAACATTTGAGAAACATTGGAAAGCAAAAGGGAGAAAATTACCACCACATCCAATCATCGAAACAAGACTTGCCAATATGTTGGAAAATTGTTTTGCAAGTTAATTTTCTATGAATAAAGTTTTATTTTTAATTATAATTTGACATTGTATTATTACTACTATTCTTGTGATAGTTACTACACCCAGAAGTGAATTTTGAGGTTATAAGTTGGACCAGTATTGTTGTTGATATCAAATCTCTCATTACTTGGAAAAGTAAAATATATTATTTATATTTTACTTCTGGTAGTGACAAAGTAGACTATTTGTGGTTAATAATTATTACTATTGGACAAAATATTAAATAAACAGTATGTCAAGTAGTAGGATGCTGCTGAAAGGAGGCAGAAAGTGAAAAGATATGGGCAATAAGAGAGGAAATTGAGGCCAGGTGAGGTGGCTTACGCCTGTAATCCCCGCAATTTGGGAGGCCAAGGAGGGCAGATCACCTGAGGTCAGAAGTTTGAGACCAGCCTGACCAACATGGTGAAACCTTGTCTCTACTAAAAATACAAAAAATTAGCTGGGCATGGTGGTGCACGCCTGTTAATTCCAGGTACTCAGGAGACTGAGGAAAGAGCATCACTTGAACCTGGGATGGGGAGGTTCCAGTGAGCCGAGGTTGCGCCATTGCACTCCAGCCTGGGCAACAAGAGTGAAACTCTGTCTCAAAAGAGAGAGGAATTTGAATTGGATGAAATCTAAGATTTTGTGGCTTTTCCCCTGTGGAAACTTCCTGGTTTTAGCACAGGAAGTCCAACATCCAGGAAGCCCTTCCATCCTGGAAATGCAGGATGGTTACAATCAGCAGAAGGCGGCAATCTTACTGGCTTGAGGTTTAAGAGGAAACTTTGGGCTGCCAGAGCAGCTCACATGAGGAGGGAAATCACAGACAGAAAGATAAGACTCCACATGTGTATGTAAACTGCCCTTAAATTTTGTTCGTTTTTATGTGGAAATGGAGAAAAGACAACAAGAATCCCAGATGAAAGCAAAAATTGAGAGACTGAAAAAGTTGAGCAAATATTTCATCTGCCACTCGCTGCAGGAGATACAGGATTTGAAGTTTAAATTCCAAAAAGTTAGAAGATCTTCTTAAACCTCTCTGACATTCCTTCAAAACTCAGAAGGACTGTAACTTTTATCTGTTCTCGAAGTTAAAACAGACGAATTTACTCTAAGCCTAAAGACAAAACTGAGATTGACCAACCTGAAAAGAGTATAAAACAAATCTTCCGCAAGACTAAAGTAATTTATCGATAATTTAACTGGTATTATTTATAATAAAAATTAATAGGAATCAATCTGAGGAATATAACAAATCAGAATGTAATTAATGTAGAAAATGTCTGGTACATTGTTTAAAAAATGTCACAAAACAGTATATGATAATAGGATACACACACACATATATATGTATATATATATGGATGATGGATGTGTGAGCATATATATATTTTTAATAGGCACAGGCAAAACCTGAGACACTCCAGATGCTACAGTTAGCAGATAAGGATATTCAAGCAACCACCATAAAGTAGTTTAAGAACTTAAGGAAAAATTTGGTAATGATGTTTATATGGCCAAATAAGTCAGCAGTATTAAATCTCAGCAGGTAAATCAAAATTATTTATATTATTGAGACAGAGTCTCACTGTGTCATCCAAACTGGAGTGCAGTGGCACGATCTCAGCTCGCTGCACTTTCCACCTCCCAGGTTCAAGCGATTCTCCTGCTTCAGCCTCCCAAGCTGGGATTGCAGGCGCCCACCACCACACCCGGCTAATTTTTGTAGTTTTATTAGAGACAGGGTTTCACTGTCTTGGCCAGACTGGTCTCAAACTGCTGACTTCTTGTGATCTGCCAGTCTCAGCCTCCCAAAATGCTGGGATTACAGGAATTATCCTCTGCGACTGGCTGGGATGATTTTTTTTTTAAAGCAAAATGGAAATTGTAGAACTGAAAATTATAATGCCTGAAAAGAACAAGTCACTGCATAAGTTTTAATAGTGGATTGGCAATTGAAGAATAGCAGTTGAAGAAATTATCAGCAAAACTTGAATAGGGATTAATAAAAATTATCCAATATTTTAAAAATCAAAAAAAATTAAAAACAAAAATAAAATGACAGTAGTTAATTGTGGTATAACATCAAACATCCTAATAAAGTTGTGTAGAGGGAGAAGAAAGAAAGAACTAAGCAGAAAAATCTTTAAAGTAATAATGCGCAACATTTTTCCAAAATTGCTGGAAACTATTAACATACAGATCCAAGAAGCTTAGTAGACCCAAAGCAGAGTAAACACCATAAAAAATGACGTGTAGTGACTTTATAGTCACACATCCAGAAACTAAAGATACATTGAAACTTTAGAAAGCACCCAGAGAAAGATGAACTATTACAATTGCTATAAAGGCCAATAATAAAGTGACTTACCAAAACAAATGAGGCCAGGAAATAGTGGATGACAACTTTTTTCTTCTTTCTCTTTTGTTTTATAAGAGACAAGGTCTTGCTGTTTTCCAGGCTGGAGCACAGTGGCTATTCTTAGGCACAATCATTGCACATGACAGCTTGGAACTCCTGGGCTCTAGCGATTCTGCCTCAGCTTCCCGAGTAGCAGAGACGACATGCATGCACCACCATGCTGGCTTTTTGGATGACAACATCCAAAAATGTGCTGAAATAAAATGTATACATAGAATTCTATATCTAGTAAATAAATCCTTCAAAAATAAAAGCAAAATAAAGACATTTTCAAATAAATGAAGGCTGAGAGAATTTGTCACCAGTGAAACTGAACTAAAAATAATGCTACAGAAATTCTTTATGCTGAAAGTGACACCAGATGGAAACCCAGATCTAGAAAAAGGAGTGAGGAGCACTGAAAATGGTTAATATGTGAGAAAACAGAAAAGAGGATATATTTTATCTTGATATATTTAAAAGGCACCTGACTTTTTAATGCAAAAACAGTAACAGTGAATTTTTGAGTTTATCACACACATAAAATATATGTTAACAATAGCACAAAGCAGTGCCACAGGATGAAATTACAATGAATTTAAAGATCTCAATTGGCTTTATTGTGATTCTACAATTGGGCAATGCTTCATTTCATGAAAAAGAATCTGTTCCAATGAGCTGAGCAGAAGAGACTGATTTCATAGAGAAGGACTGAAGGAAGCAGAAGGAGAAGCAAGCAATCAGTACAATCGTCCTTTCAAAGTTACTTTTGTCTTAAGATGGGGACAGGGAGAAAAAAATAGAAAAATAACATTTAACATTGATTTACTTCAAGCTAACTTTTTAATTTTATTTTTTAAAAACAAAGTCTAACTTTGTTGTCCAGACTGCAATGCATGGAATAGTCATATCTCACTGCCACCTAGAACTCCTGGGCTCAAATATCCTCCCACTTCAGCTTCCCAAGTAGCTAGGACTACAGATATGCACCATCACACCTGGCTAATTTTTAATATTTTTTTAAGAGATGCAGTCTCACTATTCCACCCAGGCTGGTCTTATACGCCTGGCCTCAAGCAATCCTCCTGCTTAAGCCTCCCAAAGTGATGGAATTACAGGCATGAGTCAGCACGCCCTGACTTGGTCATTCTTTTTTTTTTGCCTTTAAGGATTAAAGTAGAGAAAATTTCATTATCATGTCACCTGAAGATTTCAATTGGCCTGTTTGAGAAATTGGCTGTTATCTGTCTCTTCTGATTTTGCAGAAGGTCAGATAACAACTTAATTAAGGTTTGGTAATCTGGAACTTTAGCATAAATTACTACAATATGATTTTTAGCCTGGTGTGTTAAGGCCTAATGTAGTTGCTTTGTCCAAAATAATGGCCTCCTATAACTTGTACTTAACATTTTCTGGAGTTGGAGATAAATAAAATTCTGCTGTTATAAGTTTCTTGCTTATCTCATGAAGTGATATAATAGTAACTATAAATAGACTTTGATACATTAAATATGAAAATGGCAATCCTTAAAGTATCAATAAAAATAACATAAAAATATGTACTTAAAAACACAGTAATTAAAACAAATAAACTGAAAAGTAATTTAATAAATGCAAAAGAAAGCAGAAAGTACACAGCAGAGAAGGAAAATAATGGGACAAACAGAATCTAAATAGCAAAATGGTGACTGAAAGTAGATACGAATCCAAGGAGTATTATGAAAGATAATGAGAGGTTTATTTTAATGATAAAAAGACTAACTCACCAAGGAGACATACAAATTATAAGAAATTATATGTCTGATGTTAGAGCTCCAAAGCAAATGTAGTAAAAGCAGACAGAACTGGAGAAATAGACAAAGCCCATACTCCTACTTTGAAATATTAACAGAAGTTTTCTGACTTGACACATATAGAATACTACATCCCATAATTGCAGAATAAACTATAATATGTGCATTCGTTTCAACTTCTTGCAAAATAAGCCCAATAAGTTACAAGATTTTTAAAGCTTAACACGTCAGAATTCAACCAAATAAATACAATAAAATGTGTTTATTTTATGGTAATAAATGGTCAGAAAATGTCCAAAACTTTTGAAAATTAAACAGCATACTTCTAAATAATACATGAGTCAAATAGAAACCACAAGAAAATATGGAGATGTTTCAAAGCAAATGAAAATAAGAAACAACATATCAAAATGTATGGTGCTAAAACACAATTTAGAGGAAAATATACAGCTGTAAATATATAGAAAAGAATAAAGTTTAGAAACAATGATATAAGCTTCCAGCTTTAAAAGCTAGGAATTAATACACCAAAAGTAAGTAGAAAGAAAAAAAATTAAAGGCAAGAGCAGAAATTAACAAAATAGAAATAGACAAGTTATAGAGAAAATTAATCAAGACAAAAGTTGCTTTTATTTGAAAAGCAAAATAAAATTGATTAATCAATAGCTAGACTAATCAGATAAAAAGC